CACGCAGTTTCAAGAGGTCAGGGAAGTTCTGTAGCCTGTCAGACTCCATGCTGGCAGCTTTGATCTTAAACCAGAGAAGCTTTGGTGTGAAGAAGTCCAACATCACATTTGATCTCAGTGAATGTGAGAAAAGGAGTGCATGTTCAACAGGATGTATCATTTTTAAATATAATAATACAATGCTGCTGATAAAGATAATGACATGAAATCTTCCAGGATAAATTAATAAATGTGTAAAATTCAGAGAAAGTTCTTGTTCTGGTAGCTTATTACACAGATCCTCCTGTAATTACATAACTGAAGAGTTTCCTTTACTATTGTTTTCTTGTGGCTCTGACAGAAGGACTTTTCTGTCATTCAGTTGTTTTTCTGTTATGTATTTGCTGTGGTGTTGCGTGAATGAGAGTGGGAGGAGCTCTTTACCAGCAGAAAAGCTGTAAAGCTTCGAAAATACAGTTAAAAGTCCAAAATCCCTGAACTCCACGCAGACATTGTACAGATATACCAGTGCCATCCAGTGAGCCAGACTGCAGTCTTTGCCAGTCTGATTCTGGCCCCCGGGCCTTATGTTTGACACCTGTGTTCTACAGGAATCAAAGCAGAAGACACACACAGGGATAACCTCTGATCTCTGCCCTAAGTATTGCAGCAGCTCCTGCTCGCCTGTCAGTAGATTGCAGAATTGATGCAGTCCTGATGTCTGATCACTGCTGACTGTGCGCACACTGTGAGTCAGCCATCAGGTGTGGGTCAGCAGTGTTGGTTATGATGATTGATTTCTTCTGATCAGGTGTTTTGGAGGTTGTTGTCGTTTTACCTGCCAGCTGATTCTAACCTCATGTGTCTGATTCTTGCTGTGTGACCTTTGACCTCCATAAAGTCACACCTTTTTGGCATGAACCCGCCATGCTCGCGTTCTTTTTCTGTAGGACCTCCTGAACTATGTGAACTGAAATTAAAGTGCTATGTGACTGCTGGGGTCAAAGCTGAGGAGGGTGTGAATGATTGACTGGAGGTCTGCTGCAGCAGCGAGGGCTGGCTTCACTGAGCTCAGTTCAGCTGGTGGATAAGTGCTAGAAGCGATGAGTCACTTTGCTCATCTGCAGGAACAGGATGTGATGTCAGCAGCATCAGGACCAGCAGAGACCACCTAATCAGAGCAGAGCTTTCACAGTGTGGGTAACACTGATGTCCAATCACCTTGCTCCAAACTTCTGTCAGAGCCTTAGAGGAGGTAAAGTCAGCTCAGAGCTTATCCTGCTGAGCTGCAGTCACACTTGTCATTGATTATTGATTCACATTCGATTCAAGATGCCCCTTGAATCACATTCATTAAGTTTGGTTGAATTCTTTAATGTATAATAATACAATCAGAGATGTTCAATCCTGTAAGGCCCCACCCTGAACCCTCAGACAGGTGATCCACCTCTCACCTGGATCCAGGTTCATCAAGGTTCCTGCTGTGTGTGCGTGTGTGTGTGTGTGAGAGAGAAAGAGAGGGACAGAATGAAGCAGTCAGAGTTCAGCCTGCTCAAAGCTGATTGGCTGTCTGATGGTGGAGCCAGCCTATGACTGGCTGGAGGTTGTCGTGTAATCAGCTTTTATCTGCTGTTAAAGTCTCTGTGTCTCTCTCGCTGTTTCAGTTTCTTCAGAGCTCGATCACCCGTCACTTTGTCCTGCAGGTAAGAATTTCTAAATAAATTGAGATCAGCCAATCAGAGCACAGGATTCACAGTGAAAACAGCAGGTAAAGATGAAGAATTGAGTTAGTTTTATTTTGAAATGTGTGAAAGGCGTAACATCCTGTGTGGTTGCACCTGCACTGATGGTCACACAGGGGAACGCAGAGCAGTCGACCTGCTGGTGTTTGAAGTGAGACACCTGACCTTTCCTGTCGCCACGCTGAAGCATGAAGTCTTTCTCCCCTTGCGGCAGATGGCCACTCCTCGCTGAGCCTGGTGCTGCCCAAGATTTCTTCCTGTAAAAAAAGTTTTTCTTTCCCGCTGTTGCCAAGTGCTTGCTGATTGGTGGGTGTTATTGTAGGTCTCTACCTTACAGTATGAAGCACCTTGCTGTGATTTGGCGCTAAATGAATTAACTTAATACTGAATTGATGTCACAGGAAGTGCCCATTTTGTTCAGAGTGAAAACTGACGTTCAGACCGCTGCTGTGCATTATTGATCAGTTTGAGTCATGAAAAGTTCTGATTGATGCGGTGCTGCAGGCCTTTCAGTCAGAGGTAACAGAGAATGGCATGATTGGCCGATGGATGGTCTGCTGTCGGAAAAGCTGAGAAGCTCCACCTCCTCTCCAAACGTCTCAGATGAAAAGGGCGTCTCCTCGTCCCATCCTGTTTCTTTTTTGTGTGAACTTGAAACGCTGCGCGGTGTCCTCCGTGCCCTCACCGTGCTTCTGTGGACGTTTATTCTGGACAGATATCACAGGTGATGACATCATCAGGAAGCAGGAGTTTCGCTGTGTCCAAACACACGTTTCATGTCTGATCTGACTTCCTCAGCTTTGGAGTATGTCAGTGGGACTTTGCATCTGTGAACCAAGAAAATGTGCCCCACTTCCTGTTTGTGCAGAGAACGCCATGGGAATCATGCGAGGCATCCAGACGAGTTCAAGCGGGAAGAACAACAACAACAGAAGAGGAAGTGAGAATTCTGGGTTCCCATAGAAACGTGACAGAGATTGGGTTTGATTTGTTCATACGTGCTCTACGTTCAGCTGTTACATGTGCACAGGTGCACGCCTCTTCACTCATCAGATAAACTTTATTGACACCAAACTGCAGCTGATCAGTGATAAAGGTCACATAAGATAAACTTTATTGATCCCAGAGCTGAAATTCCTCCACTACAGCTGAAAATAAAAGATCATTTAAAAATAAATAAAATATAAAACAACAACAAAACAAACGGAGTGGAAAAAACTAAAATGAACCAAAACTAATGTCAGAGAGAGGGCGAGAGACAGAGGCACTGAATAGAGAGAGAGAGGAGGCGGCCTGCCCAAACATGACTTGGGGTTTAATGGTTGCTGACGGCAATTACCAACCTTCCCCTTAATGTTAACGATGCTGTAATCTAATTGGCTGATGGCAGACGCCAGCTCAGAGTGTTCCGACTGGCTGGTTTTGCTTTCCTTAGCCTCGGGGCCTCACGGCCAATCGGATTACAGTGAGGGCGCCTGTTCTGTGACATCAGGCTGTTGCTGAAGTTACAGCTGTTGGCGAACTGATGTGCTGTGGTGATGTCACCAGTGGTCAGTTGGTGTCTGTGCATGGACGAGCGAGGATAGCTGAGGAAGAACAGGTAGGAGAGAAGCTGCTTTAGCTTTATTTTAACCGCACAGGTGAGCTCAGGTGTTGCCGTGCATGGATGCTAACGATGACGCTCAGCTGGAGAGGAGGAGTTGGCATTGAGGAAGATCATCAGCTCGCTCTGAGGCTGGTGAGGGTGGCTTAAACCTGATGCCCCACTGGCGGCAGCTGCAGTGATAACATGCCACAAAGCAGTCTCGGCGCAGCGGGTCGTTTCCATAGATACACATCGCTCATTTCTTATGCAGAGGTTTGCAAAGGCGACGGTAAAACAGGCTGCAACAGATCTACAGAAGGCAGGTCGGTCTACAGATGCAGCGGCCTCGTCATGAGAGCGTGCGTAACTGCCACACCTGAGAGGATTTCAAAGACGACATACGCACCTTGACTGCATCACAGCAATAAACCATAATTTGTTTAATTCCAAACAAAGACTTTCAAATATTCTCTCAAATACGCACCAATAAGGCAGCAGGGCAGGATTCTGGGGGTGGGGCTACTGGTGAATGACAGATGGCTGTAGGAGGAGCAAGCAGCACCCTCACTTAGTGCCTAAAAGCTAAAACGGGGACGGGTGATATCACATTGACATCTATCTTTTATATACAGTTTGTGGTAACCACGAGCATGTGACTCAGTCACATGACCAGTGTTTATTCAGCTTTACAGTTACCACTTCTTTCCGATAATTTCATAATCAGAAGCCAATAAGGTCAGTGATCAATATCCTGATCAGACACGATTCAGACCAGAAGAGCTGTTTCTATACCGTTGACCATAATATTTTATCATACCATGCTGTAGAAGTTACAGGTACCGCTCTGCAGTGGTTTCAATCATACCTACGAAACAAAGGCGACTGATGTCGTGATTTGGTCTGCTCACACAGAGTTCAGATACTTTAATTTTGAAATGTTCACTAAATGTTCCTGCTTCCAAAGCATTGTGGGAGCTATAGTCCAAAGAGCGTAGTGGTGGTGTTCGTGATGATGATGATGATGATGATGGTTCTTGTCTCGTCTCACAGCAGCCATGAATCACCACATGAATCACCACATGAATCACAGCACCATGGCCCCGCCCACCAGCTCAGAGCACGACCACGGCTCTGGAGGAGGAGGGGAAGGGAACCATGGAGGTCACATGATGGTAAGAAGTGGGGCTTATCACTGCTAATAACAGGTCATAGATGATGTAGTGAAAGGTCTCTGTGTGATGTCATGCTGTTGTTAACTAGATGATGACATTTTACTTCGGCTGCAATAACGTGGAGCTGCTGTTCACCGGTCTGCTCATCAACTCACCTGGAGGTGAGTGATGTCACCGGCACAATTGTGGCTAAGATCCTTTATTTCCTCTGATAATAAACTTGAAGACTTTTTAAATTCTTTTTGTGTGCTTATTTTGTTCTTATTTTATAATTTATAATGATTTTAATATTAGATTTACATTTGTAGTTATATCTGTATAGCTTTAGGGTTATGTATAAAAATGCGTTTTGTTGAATACGTTTAGTTTTTCAGATTTTTCATTTTATGTAGATTATGATTAAATTTAGACTTTTAGAAATTTTGCTTGCAGTATGAATTTTGAATGTGTTTTTTATAACTGGATCTATTAACTGTTTGTTAACTCCACCTCCTCTTCCTTTGACGTAATCAGAGATGGTGGGGGCATGTATTGGTGTCTTCCTATTGGCCGCCCTGTACGAGGGGTTGAAGATTGGTCGTGAGGTTCTTCTGCGTCGCAGTCAGGTCAACGTCCGTTACAACTCCATGCCACTCCCCGGGGCTGATGGGACAGTGCTGATGGAGACGCACAAGACGGTTGGGTACGTTGCTAACGGTAACCGTTAAACAGGAGAAGAAGGAGGAGTAGGAGGTGTCGGTCTCTCAGAATTCCTAGTCATTTACCTCATGGTAAACACTAATTTTTACTGATTGGCAGCCAACATTTGGAGGGGGCGGTGCCTCCTGTCATGAGTAACTCCCGCTTCGTGGAATTATTTCCCAGGTAAATGGGTTTGGGTTCTGGTTTTGGTTCAGGTTCTTGTCCTAGGTGGGTCTGTCTGTCTGCTTTGATCAGGCTGTTCAGACTTCTATGCAGCTTCTAATTGCAGGTTCTCATACAGGATGTCCTACACCTGCTAATGGTTTAGTTGACTCAAATGCTAATGTTAATCTAATCATATGCGGGTGGATGTTAAAGGGTTAACAGTGGTGGAGGACTTCCTGCCTGCATGTGGTGTCTTGCTCTGTGACACTGGGAAGCTGATGATGCTAACTGTAATAATTCTAGTTCTGATTCTGGACAGGCTAAAGCTAGTGGTGGGCTAAGTCTTACAAATAAATACATGTTTTGTCTTTGTGAAACTGAACATTAAACACCGTAAGTCACCATAAGACTTTGGTCGCTGTCATTTGTGCATGATGTTAACTTTAAAACATGTTAACTTTATTACTGCCGATGCTAACTGCTAACACTAATCCATGGTAATGTACACAATTTTAGCTTAGGATACTTTTAGCAATCCAAAGATGTTTCAGTCATCAGGTTCCATGCTAACTCTAAGCTTATTATAATGTGTTAAGTGCTATAAGCAAAAGCAATACAATGCTAACAGGGCTACAAGTATTGAAGGGTAATATTATTTAGCATGCTGATGCTAATGCTAAGTCTTATCTCTTGACCTCTCAGGCAGCGCATGCTGAGCCCCGCCCACTTCCTACAGACCCTGCTGCACATCATCCAGGTGGTCGTCAGCTACTTCCTGATGCTCGTCTTCATGACCTACAACGGTTACCTCTGTATTGCTGTGGCAGCTGGTGCTGGCATGGGATACTTCCTGTTTAGTTGGAGAAAGGCGGTGGTTGTTGACATCACAGAACACTGCCATTAGCATTCATGCTATTTAGCACTATGAATGCTCGCTAACACTCAGTATTAGCATGCTGGCCTGTGTGCTAATAGAACTAAACACCAAGTTAGCTAATTAGCACGACACACTAAATTACAGCATTACCTGGTAAAAATGGTAACGTCACATCATACTGTAGTTGGCAACAAACGACAAGCTAGTTGTCTTCTGATTGGCCAATTCACTTTTTTTTCCCGTTTTGTTAGCTTAGCATCGTTAGCAGCTCATTAGCTGGGCCACCAATCAGAAGGCAGGATGTAATCAGTTCTTTGACTATTGGTAATTGATTGATTAGGAGCTGTTTTGATTGGTTGTATGTACAGAGCAAATCAAAAGCTCTTTTTTTTTTTTTTGGTTAAATTTTACTTCCTGTTTACGTTTTAAGATATTTAGAACATTATTATTATTATTGTTGTTATTATTATTATTATTATTATTATTATTATCTGAATCAGCCAGTCGGAGCTCGATGTTGATCAAATGAAATTTTAACTTTTGTTTTTGTCAGAAGCAGTCACTTGACTTTGTTTTAAATTGAAGCATCATGATCTGTTTGGCCAGTTGAGTCACCGTTGGCCTTAACGCCGCTGCCACCTACTGCCTTACTGCTGACTGAAGGTGGGGGCGGAGCCTCGACTCGTTTCACTTCACTTTAAGTCGACATCTTAGCACTTGCCACATGTGCTGATGATGACATAAGAACGTCTCTACTGTTGTGATTACTTTATTTTTGATGGTTCACACTGAGGAGGGTGGAGTTTACATTCTGGACCAATGGGATCGCAGGAACAGGTCAGTTGCTGGATTTAAAGTCCAACTCCAGCAAAAAGTATGTGGACATAATTTTGGTCACAGGCTTTTTAGCATGTGCACTTACTTCTGGTGCACTGCCTGAGGCTGTGTGGGACCAGCTGGTGTGATCTCGTCTTGTGTTTTATGACGTGAACCCTGTGAAGGAAACTGTTTTATGTGATCGTGTTTTAAATGCTGGAATCAGTAAAAAAACTGAATAAAGTTTAAGTAGAAACTTGTCTTTGCTGTCTTTGTGGAGCAGCATGTTGCCCTCCAGGAGGTTCACACAAGAGTTTCTGGGTTTTTGTTTTTGTTTTTTCCTCTTTTGTGGCTGTCACATTGTGTGTGTGTGTGTGTGTGTGTGTGTGTGTTGGGTGATATGTAAAAATACATAAAAGATTTCCAACCGGCAATCATCAGACCAATAACCGGCAATAGGTGATATATTTTTCTTGCACAAAAGTTTTGATGGGAGGAGCAGTGAAATCATGCACAGACTGATTTGCGTGTTTAGAACACAGAAGTCCAAACATGGACAAACAAATTGCCAAATTGCACACTGGAGGTGAAGGCACGGACAGAAATGGACTGTTGTCTCAGCGAGGAGGTCGTAGATGGAGAAGATGATCTGCTGATTTCCACTGGTGGAAAGGGCATGAAAAACATTTCCCATTGATGTCACACATGCCATGGAAATATAGCAGAGTGAAGCTGACCCCCCACCCACTTGAAACGTAAAGGCAAATAGGCGGAGCGGTTGGTGTTACATTTGTGCAGGTAAAATTAGCATTTGTGCTGCTACGGTTTCTGAGATATAACGATTTTAATTCTTACGGCCTACGCTGTATAACACCAGTGTCTGTGGCAGTGAGTTTCAGCAGCTGTGGAGTTTTGCTCTTTTATAGAAGACTGTCCACTTTTCTTAGGCTTGCTGCATATTAAGTTTTATTAGTTCAAACTCTAGTAACACAATTTAGTCGGAAGGGTCGATATTTCTTTTGTTACCAGTGCAGAAACGTTTATTTTTTTTCTGTGGAAAACTGAGTTTCATGTGAAGTGATTCACGTATACCTAAATTATTATTATTATTTTTTACATACCCAGTTTGTCTCTATATTTTGTTTTGAATTATATATGTTCATTACTATTAATGTAGCTGTCTCAGAAGAAAATAAAGTGTTTGCTTTCATAGGTTGCCACCTACATGTAGAAAATTGAATATTCCACAGCACCTAGGCCAGGAGTCTTCAACCTGCGGCTCTAAAGCCACATGTGGCTCTCTGGCCCCTCCACTGTGGCTCTTATAAGACCAAGTAAGTAATGTTTTATTATAAAGACAACAAGAAAGGGTTCTGTTAACAGTTTGTTTTTTATGAAATATCTGCATTGACTATTCACAGAATGTACAAGGCTTTTAAAAGCGATTTAATATTTCTTAGCTTCAAAACTGTTTGCTATAATTTTCAAGTTGGTTGCCCATCTTTCCTAATTTTCAATTTTTATGGAAAGGACTCACTTAGCTTCATTTTAACAAATACCTTTTTCCATTGTTAGATGATTCATTTTCTCATAAAATCTAAAGATAAACATTTTTATTTACATTTCTGTAGCTTACACGATACAACAACTCATTTTTTAGATATTTATAAGCGCTTTCTTTTTTTAAGGCTCTAGACACGTTTTGTAGCAGCAGGGGCAAAAAGGGCCCTTTGAACTGAAAAGGATGCTGAGCCCTGACTTAAGCCACGAGGTCAACACAAAACAAATACAGAAAAAAATATTGACAGAAAAATGGAACGATTACTTTCAAGGCTACAGGTGAAGGTGAATGGGTGTGTAAAGCAAATATACATCAGACTGACAAAAGAGTGTTAAAAGATTTTTAATTTAGAACTTTAACTTTATATGCAAAACTGAACTTACTGATAACACACACTAGCCATTTGAACACATGTAACTGTAATGAACCAAATAAAACAGAAAAATGCAGGCAGCACTCATTATACTGTGTATAACATAGAGGTGGGAATCACCATACATCCCACGATACGATATTATCACAATACTTGAATGGTAAATGGCCTGTATTTATATAGCGCTTTACTAGTCCCTAAGGACCCCAAAGCGCTTTACATATCTAGTCATCCACCCATTCACACACAATACTTAACGCACGATACGATATTATTGCAATTTTTAAATAATTTTTGCGATATTTAAATCAAATCAAATCA